TATAAATTTGATATTTCCAAAATTAGGACAGAGCATATGAACTCTGAAGAAAAAGATGCAATCACCAAGTTAGTAAGAGAGTATTCAGACATATTTCACATTGATGGTAATTACTTAACTTTTACGAGCAAAATTAAGCATCATATACGTACAAGCGATGAAATACCCATTTACACTAAATCATACAGATATCCTGAAATCCACCGAAAAGAGGTACAAAGACAAATACAATCAATGCTAGATCAAAAAATTATTAGAGAGAGCCATTCAGCGTGGTGCTCACCTATATGGATTGTTCCAAAAAAATTAGACGCATCGGGAAAGCAAAAATGGAGAATAGTCATTGATTATAGAAAATTGAATGAAAAAACATTGGGAGATCGTTATCCTCTTCCAAACATAACAGATTTGTTAGATAAATTAGGGCGATGCCAATATTTTTCAACATTAGACTTAGCTTCAGGTTTTCACCAAATAGAAATGGCAGAAGATGATATTCAAAAAACTGCATTTAATACAGAAAATGGACACTACGAGTTCACAAGAATGCCATTTGGACTAAAAAACGCGCCAGCGACTTTCCAGCGAGTAATGGATAACATACTGAGAGGTATTCAAAATGAAAAATGCTTAGTATATTTAGATGACATTATAATATTCAGTACTAGTTTACAGGAACATATTTCTCGACTTAGAGAAGTTTTTGAAAGGTTACGTCAGTCAAATTTTAAAATACAGTTAGACAAATCGGAATTTCTTAGAAAAGAAGTATCGTATTTAGGTCATGTTGTAACGGCGGATGGTGTGAAACCAAACCCCGATAAGATAAAGGCAATCACAGAATTTAAAATACCAAAAACTAAGAAGCAAATTAAAGGCTTCCTTGGACTTTTAGGTTATTACCGTAAGTTTATAAAAGATTTTGCGAAAATCACTAAGCCATTGACAATCAGATTGAAAAAAGATGCAATTATTAATCCCAATGACGCAGATTATATTAAATGTTTCGAATTATGCAAGACTTTATTGACAAACGATCCGATACTCCAATATCCGGATTTTTCCAAACCATTCTTGATAACTACGGATGCAAGTAATTATGCAATCGGCGCAATATTATCCCAAGGTAAATTAGGCTCAGATTTACCAATAGCGTACGCCTCACGAACATTAAGTGATTCAGAAACAAAGTATAGCACGACAGAAAAAGAACTTCTAAGTATCGTATATGCAGTGAAATATTTCAGACCTTATATTTTCGGACGTAAGTTTACTATTGTAACAGATCACAAAAGCCTCCAATGGTTATTTTCAGTTAGAGATGCTAGTTCAAAATTACTAAGATGGCGCTTAAGATTAGAAGAACATGATTTTGACATTGTTTACAGGAAAGGTAAATCAAACACAAATGCGGACTTTTTATCTAGAATAGAAGTAAATGTTAATGAAACAGAATCACCTTTTAATATAGACATAGATAAGCAATTATTAAATAATTATTTACAGAATCATAAGGAAAAAATGAAATTAGTATATAGGAATTTAAATGAAAAGATATTACAGAATAAAGAAAAAGTTATAAATAAAGCAAATGAGAAACGTGAAGTTTTGCCTGATATTCCTAACAAGGTATATGTTAAGAATAAGCAGAAGCAACAGAAAACTAAAAATAAGTATAAGCAAGAAAAATTAATTAGTATAGATAAGAAATTAAAAAGAGCGGAGATAGATCCCACACATGCCAATACTTCCAAAAATATCCATTTATCCAATATTAAAAGGCCCAGGAAGAAAACTTATCAATTTAAATTTACTAATATTTCAGATACCTCATCTATTTCGGATGCGGAGCAGAAATAAGAAACATAACGAACAATTTAGGAATTTTGCCAGTAAATTTAGGCACAGCTAGGCTACAAAAGACAAAACATACTTTTGTGCACTATTATGATCTATCACCTTTATATAAGGAATACGAAGATTTGAATATTCAATACAGTAATCTTAACTATAGTTATAGAAACCATTCTAAGATTAATAACGAGCTAGAAAATTATAGTAAGATAGTATCTTATATAAGGAGCTTGATTCAAGAGAAAATCGAATACATTAAATCTCATTCTCAAAAGACTCGCAATAAGAGAGGACTTTTTAATGGCATAGGCTATGTAGTAAAAACAATAACAGGAAATTTAGACTCCGACGATGGAGAACGTATTGATAAAATTTTATCTCATTTACAAGAAAATCAGCATCATATTCAAAATCAGCTGAGAATGCAATATTCAGTAAATAATGAACTTGTCGCAAAATTTAACGGGACTATTCAAGATATACAGCATAATGAGATGACATTAAGAAATAACATTTTACAATTGAAACATATTTTATTGAACCAGACAACAAACCAGGATATTCTTTCAGCGAAGGACATTATCAATCAATTAATTATCCTTTATAATGCCATATTGAATATTTTACAAGATATCGAAAATTCGATAACCTTTTGCAAATTGAAAACCATGCATCCCAGTATAATAAGGACTAGAGAATTATTTCAAGAACTCCGTAAGATATCCACATTTTATAAAAATGAATTACCATTTGAAGTAAAGTATGAAAATATGCTAGATTATGAATCTATTATTTCTATCAGTTGTAAAATCGATGAGAATCAAATAAGTTATTTTCTATCTATTCCTATGGATTATCCTGAACATTTCGATCTTTATTATATGTTACCTATACCGACTCTGATGCACAAATCAGAATTCGTCACTATTATCCCAAATTATAAGTACTTGCTAAAATCTGATCGAAATGAGATCAAACCCCTGCACGAGATTTGTATCCAAGGTAGAATCTATCAATGCCCTAATCGTATATTAGCCAATCACAAAGCCCAATGCGAGAAGTCAATAATTACAGAAGATCATACAGAACCATGTAGATACACGAAGCTTCAGATTGAAGAAAATCACATCGAATTTATTCCCGAAATTAACCAGTATTTAGCTGTATTTCTCACCGAAGAAAAATTGAAAATTAAATGCAAGGAGCAAATCGATACAAAGTCATTACTTGGCATTTTCTTAGTCAAAGCCAGTGAATGCCAAATATCATTCCAAGACAATGAACTTATCTTTCAAGACAAAACCTATGGAAAGCCCCTCGTAGCTGACAAAATGGATTTCCATTTTATGAAACAAAATATTCCAGAGACACAAATTACTCTGAAAACGTTAAATTTACCAGAATTACAAGTTAATCGAATGTTACCAATTTTAGAAGAAAATCCCATAGAAAATTTTGGAAAACCCAGTATTTGGACCATATTACTATATCTCGTATTTTCAAGCATCTGCTGCATAATTTTATATAGAAGATGGAGAAACAAGAAAGCATCCAAGTTAGAAATCGACATTGAATTAGCCGAGATGAAAGAAGAAGGTCCAAGTCCCACAAAACGCACTAGAAGAGAAGATTCCAGTTCAAGATATAAGAAGAAAGAAATTCACCTTCCAGGGGAAGCTTCATTCTAGGGGTGGAGGAGTTATGTACCAGTCTACAGAGAAGAATATGCTGAACAAGGACTTTTGCCTCCACGTGCCTTTCTTATCAGTTACAGTATTGTATTTCATTTGTTCTTTACTTTGGTTTGTATAATGAACTTTGCAGTCAGTCTCGATTCAGAACTCATTCAATTAACATCATTGTATTTGGTCTTTCTCAAAAATAAATCTTTTTAAAAACGTTTTCGTTGAAGAAAGATATTTGAGTTGTATGAATCATCAGCATCCTTTTTAGGTTTGTATATTTCACTTCAATAGACATTACGAAATTTCTGAAGATCATGGTTGGAGACAATGTTGGGATTTATTTTAGTCAGTCTCGTCAGAAAGTGTAAATAATCTCTACATCGCCTTACTTCATCTGTAAACCAGTTGATTTTATAATATCTTATTTCGTTCAGTACTGTCATTCGGGACTTCTCAGGTAACGCCAGATCACACTCGAATAATTTCGCTGATGAGGTGATTCAGTTTAGCACTAGGTGATAGTGTTATCATGGGTAAACGTCCAGTCATATGCCTCTATAGCGCTATAAAGTTTTTACCAGGTATGGCGTAACAAACAAAATAAACTAATCTTAAAGTACTCTTCAGGGTCTGGTAGAGCAAGGTTTTAAATCTAATTTAGATACTTAATGACCTGAAAAATTATAATTTTTTACCGGGTTTTAAGCATTGATTATACCCATTTTTAGAGTTTTTCAGACATTAAATATCTTATAACCCGAAAACGGTCAAATTTAGACAAGATTTACTGTAGGCATTTTCTGTTCAGAATGATTTAAAAATCCTGAAAAAAATGTCTAAGCGAAATAGATATTTTTTTGTAATTTAGAAAAACATGCTTAAACAAACTTGATCCGGGTTACTGTGCAGCTATTTCTTGATTCATGTTAAGGAACATTCAACAAACATAATTCTGAAAATAAAATCGAGGCTTTCGACTTGTCTAATCTGTTCAAAAATGATCACTGGATATCGTCAAAAGTCATTAATTTATATCAGTTTCGAATAAGCAATTGTAGCTGACAAACAAATTCCTCATATTCCCGTTAAAATTTCTTCTAAAGTTACAAATTACATTATTAGCTTATTTAAACTCGCTTGCCACAATCTGACAATATCCCACTACTCACAAATTACAAAAAACCGTTTTTTTGCCCGGACAATGTTTGTTCAGGTTTTTTGGATCATTTTGAACAAAATGGCCTCCAGTCATATTAGTTAATTAATACCTTACTTTACAAGACCCGCTACAAGGGTATTTTTAGATTATAGTTTATTTTATAGTGACTTTTAAGCTTGTTTGTTAGGATAAAATTGGCGAACTTTTGATTTTTGCAGACTGTACTTGTATCTTATTAAGATACACAAACTCAAGCATACCCTGCTTTTTCCTTCTCTTTGATGTGTGCGTGTTTTTCACAGATTCATATGAGGCTGAACAGCTTCTGAAAGAAGTAGACATCCATTCTGTGACGGGTATTCTGAAATTATATCTCAGAGAGCTTCCAGAAGCGTTATTTAGCGATCAACTGTACCCCGAGTTGCTCGAGGCTTTCAATCAGAGCAACGGGAACCTGAAGCGACGCACTGATCTGTTGAAGCAGATATTTGCCAAGCTTCCTCAACAAAATAGTGAGACTATCAAGTGCATTTTGGATCATTTGATTAGGTAAGTGTTGCTTTATCTATTGTCCAATTGAATTGATCATTTCAAAATTAAATCCATTTTTTTACCAACATGCTTCTTTTTACTGAAAACGGTTCATTAATGGTAGATGCGTATTCTGAGTCGCCATGATGGAGCTTTATGAGGTCGTCTATCTCGACCACGGCACGCACACCTTATAAGTCACTACATTCCTTGCCCTTCATATCATACCACCTAATACACGTTGCCTGTTTTTTTTCCACGTTCTATTCGAAGGCGGGTACTTGAATGGGGCGTTTAAAATAACTACCAATATTCCTAGATTGTTTCATTTTCATATTTATGCATATGCACCAACGTTTTAATGTTGACTTCACTAATTACGAAAATAAGATTACAGGCCTTATCTGCTTTGTCCGAAATCACTTATTAATAATTTTATTTCCTACCAAAACGATTGACTCAATCCTCCTCATTAGTACGACTCATGAGACCCTTTAATTATACGCTAAATATTTGAGGTAGATATTCCTATAGATAGTATAAAGATTTACACACATAACACCTATATTGCAATTTCAGTTTCAAATAAGCGCTTAGGTTCTTCCACAACCGATTATTGGAGTCAGTTGAACGAATAGCTTTATGGATTTGTTCATGATTGTCGATTCATGGTTTTGATGTAAAACGGCAGATTCGACTTTCTCAGGTGTTCGCTTTGCCCGGGTTTCTCCTACCTTAAAAATATTAAAACATGCACAAGACAATATTTAATTTTTCCATTGTTATTAAACTGTGGTTATTCAAAATTTCAATCTTTCAGAATTCAAATACGACATTAAGGTATTTAAAAAAAAACTGGTTTATTTGTCAGTGACACCGATTTTACTGTCCCTGAAAAATTCAAATTATGGGACTTTTTGCAATGATCGATTCAATTAGATAAGTTTAAAATTGTAGCTATTATTTTATGTGGCAAACTTCACTTGAAGTTGTGTCAATTAGTGATGAGTGTTTATAGGATATTGAATTTTGCTACAAAAACATGGGTGTTCCAAAAAGCACGAATGAAACGAACGATTTTGATAAATTGATACTAAACTGTTCACTTTCCCGCTTTAGAGTGGTAAAGTAGTAAAATTCTTGCAAAAAATTATAGTTTTTTGAGATACCAGTGGCCCGCCCCGACTTCGCACGGGTATCTGATGCATCGCGCGTCTGGGTTAGATTAGAATGTAACCGATGTTTATCTTACTTGGATGTCTTTCAGTGAATTTTATTTTTCATCTTGAAAATATTTAACAAAACCAATAATAGATATACCATTGATTAACACATTCTACCTGAAGATAGAAACCGTACTCTGTAATCCGGCGTCCAAAAAGAGATCTAATAAATATTAGCCCCATCTGTATCAGACCACAAAAATGAATTTAGGAATATGCTTTGAGCGTCATATATGAGACAATAGCAGAACCAAACGCTCTCTTTTCTAAATTGTTAAATTTATTTTGTGTTTTGCTACATAGATGGCCTTACAGGTCCTTTTTTGGACGCCAAAATACAGTATATATGTAGCTGACTATCTTCAGAAAGAATACTTGAATCAATGAATATACAAATTGAAATATTCCTTTGTGTTCAACATTGAGTATTTCTATCAGACTACGAAAAAGGAACATATGTTTACACAAAACTTTGCTTTTTTATAATCATCTACCTAAGGCAAAGAAAAAAGTTTATATCTAACAGTGGAAACATTGTAGACCATAATTTCTATTTTTTTACATGATAATAACATAATCGGGAAAGTGCTACCATATATATGCAACGTTGATACTTGCAGTCTCAAGACCTATAATCTTATATGAAATTTTTTCCCTCTGGTGCACTTACTCAATTAACAATTGCTACCTTCCAAGCAATTCCAGTTTCTAAGCCTCATAGCTAGAACCATTATTCGTCAGATCTCACATGAAATTCTCCAAACTTTGCTCAGTTGAAAAAACTACAGTAACCACACAGGTATACTGTCATGACTGGCAGTTTCAAAGCTATCTACCTTAAACGTATTCCTGAGGCAAGATCCTCAAACGATACTAAAATACACGCATGAGGTCATTCCTTGGAGTTACGAAGCTTTCCCACATTAAGTTGCTAACAATAAACCAGTGAGGCAGGCAGAATCGCCCACAGGTGTACGCACGGACCTACACGAGCACAAAACCCGCGGTTCTAAAACTTTCTCGCCGCCTTTGTATCTACCTAATTGGATGACAACTTTCGGATTGCCATAAAAATGAATTTGCGTTTACTCTCAAACTTAACAGTAGGCTTGTACTGAAGACTGATCACATGCTCCCATGTCTCTCGGCCAAGCCCGGCGGCTCCAGTTTTGCCAGATCGAACGCTACATTACCATACTCATCACTTAATTTACAGACCTCGCATTAATGTTTTTTTCAGGGTGCACGCACACGAAGCAGAGAACAAGATGTCACTGCATAACCTAGCAACAGTATTCGGCCCGACACTGCTCCGGCCAGGTTCCAAGACAGAAGCCAAACAAAAGGACACTTTAGCGGCTGGCACTGTAGACGTAATGGCCCAAGCTGGAATCCTCTACTGCTACCTACAGGATCTCCTCAACAGTTCCCAGCAGAATATACCTAGATGAGGCAATTTTTACTTCATAGAGGTGAAACGTTGTCTAAGCCAAATCCTTATTATACTATATAAATATGCAAGGTGGCTTATACAGGAGCAAAAGCACAGTGATATTTGGTTTTATTCCAGCTAAATTGGGAATGAAGTACAATTTTTGTTGTGCTATTGTTTCACCCATTTTTTCATAAGCGACGCTTGACGCTTATAGTCTAGCTCAGTATAACAAATAGATTCATAAAGGAACCTAATAGCGTTGACATGGCGCAGTCTGCAGAAATCTTTGGTGGTTAAAGTATCCGTATAAAATCGTAATCTTCGAAATGTACATTCCATACTTTACCCATTGATCAACATACCTGTATTCCACCAAATTCAATTGAAAGCCGCACCTCCGCAAAAATAAGCATACTCGTACGTACGTTGTCGCCGCCAACCGTTTATGCTCACAACTATATACTATGTCGATCACCCTCTTTAAACGCCAAGGTTGCCACCGCTCGAACTGTTGCCACAGGTTATGAGATGAAAAAATCTTAAGAATAATTACGAGGGGGGTTGAGGGGTGATCTTCCCTTGGAAGGTTGATGCCACTTCAAAGGATAAGCAATCTCTAAGATCGCATATCCCTTTGTTTCAACAGTCTGTTTGAAGAAGTATCTTCTGATTCATTCATGGTGTGCATAGAGATGACTGAAAAACATTGTTATTAATTTTTGTCATTAAATGCACTTTTATGCGTTTTTTACAATCGCAACTTTGTTTGTTTGTTTAAGATTTATTTACCATGATTGTTACAAATACATTCTTCTAAAAAACTAAACAATTACATAACATACAGATATTTAGAAAAAAACAAAATTTGCATCTCTAAGAATTTTCATTATCCATGAAATTTAATGTTCTTTTAAATACCTTTAAATTACAAGTAGACTATATATCATTATTTAGTTTATTAAATTCAAGTAATCCTTTCTAAAATATTGATTTGCTAGCTATATTACTATTGCAATTTTTTTAAAAACATAATAGTACAGCTCGGAAATTGCATAAAAATATTCCACATTTATTGTAAACTAGCTTTCAGCCCAGCCGTTTTACCCACTAAAGCAACCAAATTCCTCAAGTATGGAAGTTAGTTTACTAATGCCATCAAAGATACAAAACATGATCGGAAGTTTATAGCATTACATAAAATAATCTTTTATGTAAGTAGCAGTAACTTAACGTACAAACTTGCGGGTAACAGCTAGTACAAAATAAAGCGTCTGAATCACTTGTCGGTCACAGGCTGAGTAGGGTGCTGTTGGGGATATTGTGGTACTTGCGTCACATTTGATTGCAAAATCAAATATGAGTTCGTAGATAAAACTATACCAGTAACCTTCCTCGGGTATGAATTAATAAGTGTACAAATTTGTACGCCTCTCTATTTTGTGGTTCAGACGTGATACATGATGCTGACAGACTGGACAGACATTCACATTCATATATATATATAGATTAATGTAATTGCTTTTTTGTTATCATGTTTTGTTCAAAAAAGATTTGCTTTTCTTGAAACAGGAAACTTGAGTTTCCAAAAAAAGCAAGGCCTTTTTAAGAAAAAGAAAAATAGGAAAATGCAATTACTTACACTACTCTACTATAAATGTGGAATATTTTCATACAATTCCAGATCTGTACAATTATTGCTTAACGAGTTACGATTGTTAAAAAAAAACGCATGAAAATGCACTTGTTGACAACAAAATATTGTTTTTCAGACATCCCTATACACAACATGATGAAAAATATTAAAAAGTAGTTGTTACCCGCCGACCTCGTTCGCGTGGAAATGTTGATGTGTATATGTGGGAACTACAGACCTTATCAAAATTTGATCAATATGGGTAATATCGATAACTTTAAATCTCTATTCTATATATAATGCTGGTTGACCGAGGCCATAAAGAAAATTAAACGGCGTAGAGTTGAAAACCTGAAAGCCGGACTATTATTTTTCCAAGTGAGCTATGAAACGTTTCCTTGTGGGCATCGATATCTAGATGGTATTAGAGATTTAGGGTGTAGCCCGTGAAATATATATTTCAAAATTATTTTCCGGCATAAAAAGTAGGCTATGTACTATTCCAGACTATAATCTGTCTGCACTAAATTTTATCCAAACTCGTTAAGCCATTTTGGGGTGATTGAGTAACAAACATCTACACGTCCTCATTGATAATATTAATTGGATACCTCCTTAAACAAAAAAGGAGAAAATCGGAGTCTTATTATTACTTCTAAGGGAATTACTATGATCTTACTTGGCAACATGGCTCTGACGAGGGAAATTTGATGTGAACGTCCATCTTCTTCGAAAATACATTAATCAATGCTTCAACCTGTTTCTGCAATGTTGCTTAGGATCAAATGGGCTGAATTTGTGTATACACTCCAGTTTTATTATCAGTATTATACGCTGATAGTGTTTTTGCAACCTCAACGAAAAAATGTCGGAAACACACACCTCGGTATTGGACGAAAAACGAAAAGATTTTCGCGAAGTCGGAACAAGGATGTGCTGAATCATTATTGTAACATTAAAATGAAATAGCACAGTCTCATTAAATTTCAGAACTGCTCAGAGTTGTTACAGGAACATCTGATTAAGTAGTGAGTATGGTCATATTATGCATAAGATAATCAGCCATATATTCGATTCCTGCGCCAAAAAGCGTTTTGAAAGATACTAGCGCCATCTGTACCAGAATCAAAATTGATTTTAGAAACCTACTTTGAAAGGATTTACGAGTGTTTGGTTCTGCTACTATGGTGATAGGATCTTCAGTTGCTTTTTGGCCTCTCTAACGTCCATTTTAATTGGGTACCTTCAGGTGTAATATGTACGTACATTAATCAGTCCCAAGATATAGAAATAAAATAGGCGTTAGAGATGCTAAAAATGATTGAAGCTCCTGGTGCCATCAAAGAGACAATAGCAGAACCAAATACTCCAGATTAGGATTGGAAGTAATGATGTTGCCTAATGATGAGTTTTTTATGGAGCTGTGGGCTACTTTTTTGGGCTTCCCCTACGCCCATTAGCGTCTTCGGCGGGTCGCTGGCGGCGTGCCACAAAACAATGCAAATTGCATGCGTAAGTGCTTCGGCGACCGCCTCTGCTTCGAAATCACCGTTTAGATAATGGCGATCGCCTATTACCAATGTGAACTACTAAACTCATTTTAGTGTTCTACTTCTGTCTCAAAGATGACACGAGTGTCTTTCAGATCCATTCCTATCCGCCGGAATTCAGTATATCTAGCTAGATTCAGGTATACAGGGTGTTTCAGAACTAAGGGATGAAACTTCTAGGGGTTAATCAGTGTAACAGTAGAAAACATTTGAGTATAGGGACCCACATCCGAAACAGTGCCACTACGGCCCTAAAACGCGTTAAAATTTAGAAAGACGATGAATTGCCTAAATAGGATTTAATGCATTTAATGTTTGCCTTTTGTACATGATATCATCACAACAATTGTTCAAAATGTCTTCCTCCAACCTGAATACACCGATTTTAAACGTCGCACATTTATTTCGGCGGACTTGACACTAAAAATTTGATACTCGTTTTGAATGAATTGAAGACATTTTGAACAATTGTTGTGATGATATCATGTACAAAAGGCAAAAATTAAATGCATTAAATCCTATTTAGGCAATTCATCGTCTTTCTAAATTTTAACGCGACTTATGGCTCTACTGACACTTTTCCGGATATAAGTCCCTATACTCAAATGTTTTCTATTGTTACACTGAATAACCCCTACAAGTTTGATCCCATAGTTCTGAAACACCTTGTAGTACGTTAATCAATAGGATTTCATTGTCTGGCCGAATCGAACCACACGCGTGTTTCTGTTTATTGAACGACGTTTTGGCCACCACGGTGCTACTTGTTTAATGACAGTATATTTTTGTACTTTAAAAAGGCCACAGTGTTGACCGAACAGCGTACAATAAATAAAAATTAAAACATGTACCTATGTGGTTTGATTCGGCCAGACAATGGAGTCCTACGAACATGAAAACCACAGGATATGTTTCAGGAGTTACATTACCTTAATCAATGATATTCGCCATTCCGAATACCGTAATGTGTGTGGCCAACATTATGAATATTAGGATTTTTTGATGTTTAATAGAATATTACCCATGTTAACTGATTTGTGCAAAGTTCCCATTCATTAGTGGCGCGCCCTAAATCAGGCTAGAGGAAATTACTCAATTATTCGCTTTGTGTACCTTTTACTCCAAAGTAGTTGGCTACTAGTTTTCATCTTTTTTTTATTAACTGTGTAATATGTATTATTGATCAGTATATATTTGTTCCTGATTTTAATGTTAAGATATATTTAGCGCTCCAGTTGTCTCCAGGTAATTTCATATGACACTGTGCCTGCATTGGAGGTCAATTTAAAAGCCATGTATTGGTTTTCAATATTCAAAGTTTAGGCCAGAACAGTTTTACAAAAAAATGTTTTGCTGAAATTCTAGAATATTTCCAAAAATTTTATGATTTTGCTACTTCATCAACACATTCATGTTGGAGTAGAATTATGATTGAGACCATTACCTGACTTTTTGATTTATTTTCAACAAATTTACTAAGAGCACTGGATTATTCAAAGATCCTTGTTTCCCCAGAAATCACCCTGTATACCATGTATGCGACTGTAATTATTTTTATGTATGTATATTATTTCTAAGTAGAACAAAGTTCAAAGGGCAATTCTGATTGCATTCACTTAACTATAGTTTGATACTACGCTGTATAAAGTGTTTATTCGTGGATTTTTTCTTTTCTCTAGTCAATGCTTGTGTATTGTACATTTCATTATCTTCTGAACACTTCTCTGTGTCATTTCTTTTCAACCTGATGGAAAAATTAGAGCTCAAAGCTCTTAGAAAAATCTAGTCACTACGAGAGTGAATCTGAGACAAAAATCTATGAGTACAAGCATTGATTAACGTTTCTACCGAATAGCTGACCTAATACGATATTCGCGTGTCCCAAAAATTATCCTAGGTAAAAGGTGATACTGTAGCATCATTAATGAAAATTTAACACAGCTATGTTTCTCCTCTCTTCCATAATTAGAAATCTACTTTGAACATGTTAATGTCTCATAGATAGCAGCTCATTATATGGTTGGCTATAGCGGCAACTATGAGACACTAACCTTTTCAAAGTATATTTCTAATTATTGCGGAGAAAATAAACATAGATGTGATAAATTCTGACAGATGACGCGACGGTATCTCATTTCATCTCGGACGCTCGAATACAGTATTATTCTGGCTATCTTAAGATAGAATACGTTAATCAATGGTTGAAGGCAAAATTTAATGTAAACTTTATATTAACAAATTTACAGAAAATTCAATAATGAAAAATGTTTTCTTTTTCTGGATGTTTAACTTACAACTCTTATGACTGAAGGCCTTATATTTAAAAAATTACAGGATTCCAATTTGAGCTAACAATCGGATGTTTGTCACGTATTAAATGTGTTTCTGCCGATTGTTTCAATATTTTTTTTAGTAACTGAGCTAAATTTTACTCATATGTCTGGTTTGCGCTTGCTAAACAGCACCAAAAACTGAAAATTATGAACTTTTAACATGACACAAAACATAGGTTTCGTACTCCCCCATGTTTGTCTGGCCAATCAAACCACATGTGTTTAAAATCCTTCTTTATTGTAGACATTTCGGTCCCGTTGGTGACCTTCAGTAGAAACGACACTTTTTGACAATATATAGTTTTCGATTTAAAAAAAAACAAGGTTTGATGTCCGTGGTTGTTTTTTCATGAATTTAGACAAAATGGGGCTTTCACAGAAGCTGCTGATAAGTAACAGCAAATCTGTGATATCTTTCATATGTTAATAGTGAACAAACACTGTGTATATCGTTAAGAGTTCTTAAGTTTTTCGTTGGTGCTGTATTGTTATTATAAGAGCAGCTTTTGGGAAGTTTTGGCGAATTGGAATGAATTACCGTTGCGTCTTACCTTATATTTGTAGTACTTAATCTTTGATAAAATAAACACTTTGTACAATCAGAATACATTCAGACATTTTTAAGTAAAGGACAAATAATAAAAAACACTATAGACACATTCAGTGTATTATTTAGGATTAGGGTAATTCTTTAGACATTCACATTTGTGTTGAAAAAATAGATTTATAGTATTCCTCGTTTTCCAAATGCCTGCGTATTATTATTTCAAAGTACTGCCTCAAAATGGACAGATATCGATATGTAAGACTTCTGTGATGTCAATTTTACATATTAGGGCATTGAGATGACTGAATCTTTACCTCGGTTAAGACTAGGAAAAGTAGTTTCTTAATTTTTTATACATTGGACATACTAACATATTATCACTAACCATTTTTGTACGAGGTGTCCTAGAATATGCGTTAAGTTGATCGGATTCGAATCGGGTTCAAAAAATTAAACTTTCTTCCCTACTTCCATTATACATGGCCTCCCGTTTTAATCTGTCCACTTAAATATTTCAAAAGCTACGCACCCTAGAAAAACCTTTCAAGCAAAAGTTGTAGGGTTTTGAGGGGGCAATAGGATGGTGACCTTGACCATGACATTCACCACGACCTTCAAGATTATTTCAAGGTCAAATTCTACGTTGGAATATGAGCTTGACTAGGATCAAGATCAAGTAGAGACATTGAAGACAATTTGTTCTAGCAAAAATTCTCTACAGCGAGGTTGTAAGGTTTGAGAGGGTTACACAAAGCTGACCTTGACCATTTAGGTGATTAAAATAAAATGGGATACACCATATAGACAAACTCCCCTAAAGAACGGTACTTTTTATGATTTTCCAAAAGGCCATACCCAAGCTCCTCGCAAGACAGTAAACTTAAAAACATCTCGTTCTGGTCAACAGGAACAAAGAGCAGACACTTTTTTCGCTCTATAAAACTGGATTTTTCCGAGAGACTGACTACATTTTCTAGAATACCTTTATATGCCCTTCTATAATACTTCTTTCAAAATTAGTAATGTGTACGACAAAAAAAAAGGATCGAGAAAATTGGCTTAACTGGACTAACATGTTTTTGTACGCTTTGTACTATTTTTGTAAATGTGTGAATGTATTTATTTTATTTGATGTCTTTAGTGATAAAGATAATGCTTCATGCATATACCTACCTATATTAAAATTATATTTTATATACCTTTGTAATTCATTGCAATATAGTATTAAAAAGATGTGTAGTTTTATTGACAAGTATTCCTTATAAAATGCGACTTTGAACGACATACCTATTCCTAATTGAATGTCAAATTGAGTTTGATGAACAAAGGTCGACTATATAAAATGATTGATTATTAGAATAGTCATTACTTATGAATGAGCGGCTTGGTGTTTTCTTGCCAAGACACACATGCAAAGTCTTCAAGTACTGCAAACAATTCGCAACGCTCCATGATATGTCTCAAATGAGACATTACACAGAGACCTTGGCATTCCTTGAGGGATTATGTCAAGCTTCAGGCGCAGTGACGTTATAGTCAAGCGGAATCGCATAGCAACCCTGTTGCGTGACTCGGTGGACTACAAAGTGGAGCAAGTTCGTAAACATTCAAGGCCAGGGCTCGCACTGTCATCAAAAATTAGCGCGAACTTTTAGTAAGCTCAAAATTACACTTTAACAAAACCTGAATCAAAATTTGTTTTTAGTTCACCTCAAAATTAATCCGTGTACCAACCCAAAAAGCCTAGATGTTTCCTCTTAAACTAATACACTTCTGTTTTTTCTTCGAGATTCTGCTTTTTTCTTCTCATTCCCTTTTTCTTTGTCCTTGACACTGACTGCTTTCTGGGCAACCAGATTCGATTAACGTCCATTAGGCAGTGACTAATGGGCAAAGGTCATACGGACTGCCCACACAAATGACGAATAGTAGAGATACAAGGTGGTGTAGTTTTCAGTTCTACAACTTTTTTTTTTGTCCGACGCACGGTTTTCACGGTCTACTTCTCTGCACGGTGATACTGTCATATTAATGATATTGTAATGATCATGCAGAGAAATGGTTTTTATTTTTTTCAGTAAAACCCGCGCATCGGATTGAAAAAATCAGGCGATATAATTTGCTCAGAAATTGTGGATTTCAAGAATAATTTTTATTTTAAGAGATATCTATGGCGTACCATCAACGTCTGCTCAAAAAAAGTGGTACACTAAAAATGCCTCTTGATACATAGTACGTTTGCTAAATTTCATTAAAATATCTATAGAGATATTATACTCGTAGATCTTAATAATGAATGAAAAACATTTCCACCAAGTATCTCAAAAGTTAAGACGTTTAGGGGATATGTTCATATAAAGTTTTCTTCTTGAAATGGACTTAAAAACCGTTCCCTTAAATATTGACATTTAATTAAGAAACCTGAAAATGTAGAAATGGTGCGTTGGTTTTTTTTTTCAATATGGGAAAGAAAATATAGGAAATGTTACCAGTTTATTCAACTACGGGGCTACATCTTAGATATAATCAAAATATGGCACTTCTTTAGAAGAAGTATTCCGTTGCAACATATATAAAAACAGGTTAAACAGAAACCCTATTATTTCATCTAAAAATATAGGTAACAATGAAACTTAATTATAGAATATAGCTCAGAATTAGCACCTTATCTTTAATCAAGTTAACAAAAATGTCTTTGGTTGGTTTACATATTTTTCTTCGCATTCCATAAAATTTTACTGTTTGCAAAAATAAAACAATGTACTCGTCAGAAGAAATGTATTGTGGCCGACACGAAATTTGGTCCCGTAAAAAATTTAATCGCAGACCCATGCAAATTCAGAGGCCCAAATTAAATTGCGCCTGATTTCTCCATGCTGAAGAAAATTAGAAGAAATGTCAACCATGCATTTTCTAAAATGAAGAATTTCAAGTGCTATTCAATTTGCTCGATGAAGCACGTCCAACTGCTTTAAAACGAAAACTTTAAGGCTGATTAAAATTTTCCAGAAAAACGAGCACACATTATTTTATTCTCACATTTTAGTTCGATATATATTTAGCCTATATTACAAACAGCAGATGAATGTTTCAGTCAGAAGAAGTTTTGAGATCACGTTTCTTTTTTCAATGGATTGAAAGAATTACACGCATCGAGTGATGGTACATTAATAGTAACACATTTTTATAGTTCATCGCATCTTAGCGAATGAATTATGTTTAAGAAGAAAATGCTGCGAAAGCAACCGAAGCGTTAGCAGTTATTGCTTAACTAATAAATCGAGATGAATCAGAGAGACAACCACACAGTAAATTTTACCTGCTACAGAATCAGACGGTCTTATTACTTGCTGCAGTATCTCTAGTCTTAAATCGGTTAGGGAGAATTTTGAAAGATTTTAAACTAATATATTTGAAATTCCATTTGTTTTTACTGTAAATGTACGAGGGAAAGGTGCAATATTCTTGGCCTGACACAACCTCGGCACTCCAATTGGTTAAAAGTAGTTTGTCTACGCTCGTTTTTGAAGAGAACGTCTTCAGTGGTTTTCATAAAAAGGATAAATTTGATATCTTGATATTACCAAAGTCTTCGTGTTGGATGGATAACCCCTAAATTCCAGATTTGAAGAACTTTCTCGCTGGAAAGTGCTTTGGGCTCGATGAAACAATTGACAAGTTCGTAAATATTTTGATAGCCTTCCACTTCAGAGCAGTAATCCTAATGTTGGTGAAACGTTAGACAAAGTATGTTGGAATCGAAGGGAACTGGTTATATAAAAAAAGGATATTTTTCAATTAAAAATCGCGGTCTACCATTGTCAGGCCTATAACTTTTCACCCTACCCTCGTATAGCGGTATAGTAGTAAGTAATGCAAACTCAAATGTATGTTTATTCGACTCATTAAATAATGCATTGCCAAAAATTCTAGAAAACATTTTTTGTAAATAATTAACTAATGAGCACAAGTACTTTATAACCATAACTACCCAACGAAAATCAGGTTGTAATGAGACCTGTCATAAGGTGAATGGTAATTTAAAAAAAGATCTCAAATCGCCCTTTCTAAAACGTTCAAATCACATGCCTTCAATAAGCAATTGTATAAAAAAGCTGCTACAAAATTTCATAAATATAGCACAACCAATATACATACATAGTAATCGCCAATAAGCAGTACTTAGTCTCTTCCAGAGACTGTTTAGGTGATTTCTGAAGGGAAAACGGTTTTCAAGTTGTTTATTATCAAATTCATTGCCTTTCGTAGGCCAGCTTGCCAAATTGAAATATGGCGAAGGATATATCAGATGCAATAAACCTGTTTACTATTCTCATTAACAAGCAATGTATGGTCAACGTTGGACCAGTATAATGATCCCAGTATACTATTTGGGCAGCTGAGAAAAGTCAATTCGTTAGTGTTACTGTGCTTATGAATATGAAAGAAACACGTTTCATATTTACATTTTTATTGTTGAAACAGTTGTTTATACAATTTCCTTCATAATGACTGGAAATATAAGTAATCCTGTCAAATTCACTACAACAAACAGAAAATTGCACCTGATGATTATGACAATAACTCCACAGGTGAGGTCTCCTTTTTTTTAAGTAAAAAAACATTCATTTACATTAACAATCCAAGTACCTGGCGGCGAGCAGGCACCGCGTTTAAAAAAATGCATGCAATACGCAATTATATAGAAAAATAACATATATTTCAATGATGTATCAATAACTGGAAATAGGTATTTGTACTTGAAAAATAGGAGTTCACACTTGGAATTACCGACGTATTTAACAAATTCCAAGCTATTTTCAACATAGTCTCAAAAGCTTATATCAACAAGCTATAATTTTAATGATTGCTTGGATAGATATTTTGGAACAGGCCAAGGTTATTGGGCACCCAGCCTACTTCTGAATCAACTCACTGTAACAAAATTGGTTAGATGTGAAACATCTTCTAAATATTGCCAATTTGACTTACAGGATATAAAGGAATGTTATATCGATAACATACTACGAATATATCACAATTATCCTCATACTTGTATATCAGATATTGATGAACTCTTTATAGAAAAAGCACTCGCTATGCCTTCAGAAAATCTACCTGTATTGTTAAACGTATATAACAGTGCCACTCAGTCACTTGCGTATTATTTATTCATTACTAACTAACACAGACTTATATATCCAAGTAATGAATCGAAAAGAATACTTGTCATACGATAGTATCAAAAATATATCTTTTAACGTAATACAGTTTGATTGAGAAACGATTGATTTTGGTTTTGATCAGGCATAAAAATAAAAACGAAACCATAGCTAACATCCAATACAATATCTAAGGATATAAAAACCAGATTATGTTATGCCGACTCTTTAAGATACAGTTGGTATAAGTTATATTGTCACAGAAGCGACAGCTACTGTCGATCCCTTTGATCTTCGTAAGTCCTGTTTGGCGCATTCCCTACCTGATTGCACGGGCGTCTGAAGGAATTTTCCCATTTAGGCAAGATCGAAGATCCCTAAATGTCACAACGGTTGACATCAACGAAAATCCTACCAACCACATACGACTCAAGTTGGCGTTATTAGATCCTGCTTTTTGACAGGTTGTCGCCTCAGGTAGTACTCAGCAGTATTGTTGCCAGGGCTAATAATAACAAAACGTGGTCTTTAAATCATATCCGAATGGCGCGTAGTTACATCTTATGACTAAAATGTCGATATTGTCGAGATACAGAGTGTTGAAAATTTACGCAAAGGTGACAATTTACGCTGCAAAATTTTAAACACAGATGTTTTAGTTGATAGTTGGCCTCCTCGTTGACAATGAGAATATATTTTATTTATCTGTCTTTCAGGTGACAGTTTATTTGTTTGCCGCGACTATACAATGTGTTCTAATAACGGTGCGAACGGTCCTGAACCACGCAAAACCAGCAAGCATTCCCGTTCCTAAAAGACGTCCAAAGTCTCCAAAGCGATAAAGGAGCATGAGGTCATTTGTTGTTTTTAATGTAACATATACATCACCCTCGCTCACCGCTCCGAAAACGGCAAGCGATTTCGAGAATGCGAAAACCTACCCAGGGCCGATATTCTCGGTCCTTAAAAAATAAAGCCACTCAGCGGATATAACGTCATTTGCACGTGCTCTCGAAAAATATAGTATTCTCTATTATAAATAAAGCAAACTGTCCTCCAGTTAATGTAGTGTACAGATGCTTATATGAATGTGGCATTATTTTTCTACATATTGTCTGTATTGTGTTTCTTTGCTAGTGAAAGCTACCAGCTTGACGTAGACAGAAATCATAGTCCCCCATGCTTGTCTAACCGTTAAAATCACATGTATTTAGAGAATATTCTTTACTGTTTACGTTTCAATCACAAAGGTGATATTCTTGAGTACAATAATATATATTTTATCTATCGTTCAGGTGACAGTTTGTTTATTTTTCCTTTTCATTCTCAGATTCGTATGCAGTGTATTACTAGAATAGTCATTCAGAATTTTAAGATGGCACCACGCAAAGCCAGCATAGCACAGGACAGCCAGGGGTGGATATTCCCGTTCTCAATAAACTTCACTTCAAAACGCCAAGCGGACATGAAGCTACCTGTCGTTTTTTGTTTTTTTAATCCACCAGATAGGTCACCCTCGTCCATGAGACTTTGGATAGGGGGCTTATCGACATTTAAACCACAGGATAAGTTTGAAATGTTACAGAAATCACACTGTAACTCTCAACCGGCTATCTCTCTCAACCGAGAGTACATTGGTAAATTGAAAAAAGCACTGTTGCCAAAATGTGCCTGGTGGACTGAACTAACTAAGCTTTTTGAAAACATATCGCTTTCAAGTTAAAGAATGAGAATACCGGAGAAGACCAGACTACATATGCTGCATCTGCATTGTTCATGGAGCAGAAATGCCAGATAGTATTTAGATATCATGTTTTTTGTCTTGTGTGAATAATATAAGACTCAACAGGTTTGGCCTTAAACCGGCTGCCTAAAACTGCGCATTTGCGATCCGTTAACATTTACCTCACTGTATCTCGACAAGGAGACATTTCAGGAACTCTTCGTGCTATTTTTTTCAACGCGATCATTTTCTCCCCCAATATAAAACACCGTCTATATGCCATTGTTTAAACTCCAGTATCTCCATTTTCGAGTCCTGCTAAGTTACGAACCACAAATTGTGTAAAGCAAATCATTTTTATTAATCGTTCCAACATAACTGTTTCGAACTTAGTAAACCAGATATTTCAATATAGAAATGGTTGTATTTTATAAGCCCTACAGAATTCTCAAATAAAATTCCCTTAAAACCCCCATATAACTTTAGTATCGGTAACTATTCATGCGGTCGCGGTCTCATCGCATTTTTAATCATAATATTATACACAATTCTGCAATAAGAGTCCATCAAGTATTTACATATATACATTTCGCGTCTTTAGTAAATCCGCTAATCACCTGGATGTTCCGGACAGGACCGATTTACCTCGAACCATTGGTCTATACATCTGAAAAAAAATAAAGAAATAATCAGCATAGATGCATTTACTGCCTTTCTACAAAAACTTATAAAATCAAATCCGTACAAAATCCACGACTCTTATAAAATCAATCAGCTGATTGCTTGACATCTATCATAACTGTCATGACATTCGACCAAAATCTCAAATATCTTGTCATAACGTACGCTCCGTTTCGAGTAACTTTTAACTCCTGCTTTTTTCGTAATTTTCCAATACTTACATATTTACCAAAAATACTATTTTTGCATCTCCCCCTTCCCTGTTTCCTAAATTAGTTTCTGAAGTTGGTAATTCTCTTAAGATTACACTCTCATTGATGGGAAGGAAAGCATCCTAGATCTCAATTCGCGTTTGACAGCCCGGTCACCACTGTGATCGCTAGAGGCGGATGATTCTGGCGGTATAATAGATGTGGTCTACCCGCCATTGAACAACTAAAAATGCTGCTTGCCTCTTTCCGACCACAGACAGCCAACCATGAACAGCTGTCTCATACTTTTTGAATCTAATCAGCGTCGTCTAGGCTTGGTCTCTGGGACAACGAGCTGAAGCTCAGTAACTATCCTCTATCTTAACCCTCTATCAAACGCAAACTGAGATTACATTTCCAACCAATAGAGTTGCTATTCACTCTCACAGTGGTCAATTCTGGTAGTAAATGGTGCTTTATGCTGTCTTACTTCGATATATCACATACCGGATAGAGGATAGTTTATTGTGATAGATACCAAGCCTTCTATTCGTCGTCTGTCAGAGCGGCCCGTAGGACCTTTGCTCTTGGTTAAAGTCCTGTAAGTCAGTAGGTCTGTCAGGTCTGGTTGCCCATATACCAAACAAAGTCAGATACCAAGCCATACTGATGCCAAAAAACACGGAACAGCTGTCGATAGTTGGCTGTCTGTGGTTGGATGGACCAAAGTAGCATGTTTAGTTTATACAGCTGGCTTTTTCTGACTTCATTGTCAACCGTCATTGATTGACCTTTCCGCGCGACAAATCGTTTATCTTACATTCAATGGGTATTATGCACCTTTATGCTTAAAAAATTACCGTACATTGACATTGCATATTCGAATAATGTCAATTACTTATTCATTGTGCAATGTTGGCAAGTCCTTCAAATAATGCTAAAACCAGACATCAATTTTACAGACATTATTCAAACAAGGAGCCGACTGTTCAATTACAAAGTTGTGAAGTGAACAAGAAAACGATAAAGTTTTCCACTGGTGGAGAATGTAGGGTTTCTACTTCAGAAACACGTAACAAATGCTCGATTTCTCTTTGTAGATCAACCACTGACCGATTTTCAAGACACGATGCTAAATAGAGACAAGTTTTGAACTGAATGGGTGGAATTGCAACCAAGTTTTAGAAGTTATATGCCGCTACAAACGTGATACTTACGTCTTGTGGTATATACATAGGCAAGGAAGGCGGGCTATTACATCTCCTTGGCTCAATTCTTCTAAGCATATGACACATTCTCCTTTATCATCAGTCAGTACGTCTTCTGCAAAAAAAACCGTTTCGTTTAATTTGTAACGTATTCCACCTGAAGATATTCAATTAAAATAAGCACTGCAGAGGCCAGCCACAGATCGAACATCTTAGCGCCATTTATGAGATAGTATAAGAACCAAATTCTAACTCTTTTCAAAGAAATTTCCTAATTCATTTTTATGTTTCTGCTAGTGACTTATAGATGGCACTAATGCCTTTCAACTCCCTTTTTGGACGCCAAAATACAGCATATTGTCGGCTATCTTCAGGTAGAATTCGTTAATCAATGTTAACACGTAAGAATGAACTCTCTTATGTGTGAAAAAGGTAAAGTTCATTATACACCAGATTTAAGTAATCCAAAATAAATCAATACCACTTTCAAAATAAATTGCTATACATGGTGTCCAAAATAAGGATCACATGCATGGGGATCTGAATACGTGTGGAAGATAAAGCTTTTTTTATATGTATATCGAAGCAGCCGCGCAGGCAGAAGCCTAAATGCCAGGACATCGCGGCTGTTATGAGGATTCCATAGAAATTTTGTTAATCCAATTTGTGAACTGCCTAAGGCTAGTAGAACTGGGAAACGGTTCCTCTTGTAGATTGTTCCACAATCGCGCGTTGGCATCACGGAGGAGAGTTCTAAGGAGGAAAGCCCGTTGGTGTAGCGGTAGAAAAGAGCTAGATCGCCGACGGCCTGCCGGTGCGAAACAGTTGCGAGGCGGACTGTTGGAGAAGAGTCATTGATCAGTCGGACAGCTCTCTGGACAGCATCGAGCATAAATAATGTAGGCGGGGCGGCAGCACAACAAACGTGTGAGCAATACTAGAGGCTAGGCCTTGCACAGAATGAGAAGGTCATGCGGAGACTAGTACTTCTAAGACCTAAACAAATAGCCTAGCTTTTTCCCAGCAGCTGCCGCTATTGACGAGATGTGCTCGTGCCAGATCAAGTCGTCGGTGATCTGGGCTCCGACCAGCCGAAATGAACGGCTCTTTGGCAGAACTCAGCCACCCATCGAAACTGGATGAGCGATGGGACGCTTTTTGTTCATCAAGGTACAGTACTGTGTTTTGGAAGCATTAAACTGTACAAGTATGTTGCCTCCCCAAGCAGTGATTACCTCCAGGTCTCTCGTCAGAGAGGAAGTCGTCGCTAGTCTTCTTTTTTCCAGCTCAGCGGCAGAGATCGGCTTGTCGCTCTGAATTCATGCATGTAGAGTGCTGTCATCAGAAAAGCTGTGGATTGGGTTGGTCATACCGGAAAGGAGGTCCTTGATATGTAAGAGGTACAGTGTCGGAGCCAAGACCGAATCCTGCGGAACATTCGCGCTGACGCTGAAGGAGAAGCCATCAATTACGACGGATATCTTGTGGCCAGAGAGAAAGTCAGCCACTCATCTGCAAAGCTTCTCTGGGAGACCATAGAATAGAAGTTTGCAAAAGAGTGCACCATGCTACAGCTGATCCAACGTTTTCGTGATATCAAGAGCAACGACATGAGCCTCACCATAAGACTGGATGAGTTTACTTCACAATTGCGTAGCGAAAGCTAGGAGGTCCCCTGTGGATCGCTGGTGCTGGAAACCATAGGTTAGGTTAAATTAGAAAAAAGCTGCATTTCTAGAGGTGTGTTTACATGCCGTTGAGAAAATTGTAAAGATTTAATGGCTTCCTATCGTTTTTCCTTTCTTTTCTACTTAATTTTAACGAATATCAAAAAACAACGGAACTTTTTCATTGGCAGTTTTTAGGCATTACTGATGGTGTTTTTAAATTTTGTGCCCGACGTTTGGTTTTTGAGAAACCATCATCAACTTTATTTTCTTAGATCGTCCGAAAAGAAGTACACACTGTATCTGATAGGATCTGTTACTATTAATTCAACGATGTGACACATGTTACATTATTGTCTTCTTAGATGATGTAAGATTTCTGGTGTAATCATACTAAATGCTCCATTAAACATTCTCGTACCTGCTGCTTCGTTTCAAAGGTATGCTGATAAACTTGGTTTTTAATAAAACCCTGAACAAAAAAGTACCGAGGAGTTAAATCCTGGGAACACGCAGGTCAGGACGCTTCACTGAAGATTTCAATCCACTTTCCGGGAAATCGCTGAAAAAGATATTCTCGAACTTGCCTAGAATTATGTGCTTATGAAACCAACAGCTATTAACCTAAGCCAAAGACAAATTGTCCAGGCAGTCTTCTCGATCATGTTGCAACACCTGCAGGTACCGTTCTGCAGTTAATGAGCTATAAATACATGTTATATGCACTCAAAACAATTGACTTACTATTCCATACAATGTTGCACCAGACGCTAGCTCAGCAACAGATAACGACTTCTCGCTAACTCGTTGTTTACGCTTTATTTTCTAGAAGTGCTTTGTAAGCACACCAATAGTATAAATAGGTCTTGCGCCCATTTCATGTTGTTCATTACCCGGCTAGGCAGCGTAACAGTCACTTATGTAAACTTCGTGTTCAATTGTAAACGTTAATTTTTTTAAAAAGTAAAGTTGAATTTAAATTATATAACATACATGATTCTACTATTTTGATCTCTAGAATTCCTAAACATTCTTGATGTCTAGATACTCTTTTAGCCCGCAGATTTTGTTGGGCCAAGTAATGAGTGTTGGCTGCGATTAAAAATAAATAATAATACGTAGTCATGCCATAAGTTTTATAAGTTTACATTGTGGTGTCAGTTGATTAAGCGCTTTTCGGGTAATTACATATACCTCAGTTTGTATTGATCTCTCGAAGCATAACGATGGAGTGGGGCAAGGCAGTGATATTGCAGTGATAGCTTTACATAAGTGTAATCACAGTGCTAGTCAGATTTTTGAACTCTTACGCGGCCTTCAAATATCGCGTAAATTTGTGTCTAGGACCATTCAGCGGTACAATGAGACGTCCTCTGTTGATGACAGGCCAAGAAGCGGAAGACCTCGTCAAGTAAGGACTCCAGCAGCCATCAAAGCCGTAAAAGCCAGGATTCAAAGGAATCCACTCCGGAAGCAGAAGATCCTATCCAGGGAAATGAAGATTCCTGTCCGGACGATGTCGCGCATCATTAAACAAGACCTAGGGCTAGGGGCTTACCGGAGACGTACGGGCCAGCGACTTACGGCCACCTTGCAACACATCAGGGCGACAAGATCCAAGAAGCTCTTGGAGAGGTACGCAGCTGGGGGATTCCGAAAGATTTTGTTCACGGATGAGAAAATCTTCACCATAGAAGAAAAATTCAACCGACAAAATGACAAAGTGTATGCAAGGAGTTCACAGGAAGCTTCGGAGATCATTCCGAGAGTTGAGAGAGGCCACCACCCTGCGTCAGTCATGGTTTGGTGGGGGGTGTCCTACGAAGGGGTCACTCAGCTCCATTTCTGTAAACAGGGCGTGAAAACAAAAGCGGCAAACTATCAGAGCGACATACTGGATCCTATCGTCAAGCCTTTAAGTGGTACATTGTTTGCCAACCAACACTGGGTCTACCAGCAGGATTCCGCCCCCACTCACAAGGCTAAGAGTACGCAGCGCTGGCTGGAAAGCAATGTGCCAGAGTTCATTGCTGCGGAAGATTGGCCCTCAGGGAGTCCGGACCTCAATCCTTTAGACTACAAGTTGTGGGACCTGCTAGAGCAGTTGGCCTGCTCCAAAGCCCACCGTAATATCGAGTCCCTGAAAGCGGATTTGATCCGATCAGCGGCAGCTATTCCTTTGGAAGCTGTGCGTGCAGTGATAGATGAGTGGCCCGCGAGATTGAAGCAGTGTGTGAAGGCCAAGGGGGGACATTTTGAATAAAACTGTTTGATTATGAATTCTAAAAATGTTGTCGAATAAATAATATCTTTCATATAAATATATCTTATCTTGTTTCATTTTTATCATGAGATTATCATGGGACAGAACTTATGGCACGACTACGTAATTAGTAACCATACTATCGTCTGATCCTATTATTTTTGAAGGGAAATTAAAATCTCCCTGGCACGTTCACAAAAATGCTGGCCCCCATGGTCTAAGTCCTGTGGAAATCCTGAATTTATAGGCGTGATATCGATGTTTACGCAAAATATTCTGAGTTTCCTCTAAAGATTCCTTTTTGACTATATTCATTTAAATTTCGAGGCAACTCTAAGAAAATGGACCTACTTGGCTGGCTTCTTTCGGGAAATTTATAAAAATACATTTCTGCAGTAGTTTTAGTATTTTTGAAGAACAAAATGTAGCACGTCAGCATGTCGAAATTTACTTTATTGCTAATCATATTGACAAAAATTCTTCAAATCAGATTTTTAGGTATTTACGAGACCTATAAAATAAGACCACACATAAAAAGATCCGAGTAATACAAACAACAAAAAGATATGGCCGAAAACCTAGACAAAATGAAGGTTTTGGCACTTTATTGAGCAATATACTGGTTTCGTTCAAATGGCATTTTAAAACAAAATACATGAGTTTACTTTGCCGATATTACGAACTCCTAAACAAATTCAAATATTCCGTATTTGTAAGTAATTGAAGAGATGCGCTACGATATTCGAAAAACATACGTTATTATACACATTTTACAACAGAGCGGATGTGTCAACCTTATGTTATGAAGATTTTTTTGTCAAGATTTCTTCATACTCTTATGTATACATATTTAGAGCTGGCATTTTTACACGGTCACAGATGACCCTTAAAGTTTATAAAAAATTACTTCATACTGAAATGCACGGAACTGTTTATAAAGTTGGCACGCAAACTCAACACAAAATTATCTTTCAAACTGTCGTAGTCTAGTTGTATGTAGCATGTGCTAAATGGCTACATTATTGATGACTGCATGAGTTTGTCAAATAAGTAGGTCACGTAATCCAGGTTCTTTACGAAGAAATATAATTCCCTGGACCTTTTTCCTAAATGTTATGTAGTATACGTTTCTTTCCGAAATCACGTACGATCAAAACGACTGCGAGTTGGAATGTTGGAAAATAATTAAAACCAAAAAAACAGTAGACAAATATCTACCAATTGTAGCGACCTGACCATCTGAAAAGTTAGGCAAAATGCTCGGTATTAGTCCCTAATACATTATTTAAACTTTCAGCATTGCATCTTGTATAGTCTTCAAGAGTACTTGAACTAATTGTTTATAACAGATTTTTATGCGTCCACCATGTTTTGAATACCCCCTTGAACAACTTCAATAAAACCAAACTTTACAATTATTTCGAAAACCAGGGGTATTTTCTTCTAATATGATGAGACTACAAGAAAATAAATGTAACATGTAATATATCGTTGAATTCGTATAAAAATGGTATTAAATACAGGGTGGACTATATAAAAAAGTAAAGTTGATGAGTTATCAAAAATGAAGCGTTGGGCACAAAATAGAAGGTCACCATCAAAAGTGCCAATGGAAAAGTTTCATTAGTTTTTTTGATATTTCTTAAAATAGTCAGAAAAAATAAAAATGATTTGGCCAAATTTTAGTTTTTTCCAAATATTTCAGTAAGCCTTAAAATGTTTCTCAACGGCATGTAAATACGCCCCAAAGAACGCAACTTTTTCCAAATTTAACCTAAGCTCTATCTCCCATAGGTATTGGGATCTAAATGCATAGGATCCTTATCTTGGACACCCTGTATACATGTACCGCAAATATTTATGATCCTCATCAAGTAAAATGTAATAAAAAACCCCTTTTGAATAAACTGGGCCCTCAAATATAAAAAAGAGATATGTTGGCGGCAAATCTTAAGGGAACAAATGAATTCTGCCAATACCAAAAAGCTAAGATATTATGTTACTGAATTGCTCATCGTTAGCGATAAATTGTGATCGACTTACCGTTGTAGGAAAGCCTTGGTTTGGTCAAACACATAACCAAGTGACATTCTATATCATCGGGAATCACAAATTTGCTGCATACAGGACATTTAATACCTATAACAAAGAAAAGTGCTCATCAATTTTATAGATAAAAAACTAAATTCATGAATATAGACCAGGAAAATAAAGTTTTAAGGAGAATTAGTTCCAACATGTTAACCACGCGACATTTGAGATGCCTGGAATGACAAATTCTGCCAAAAGGTACGGTAAATTCTAGATAAGATCTAGTTTAGAATCATTAATGTGCTGTACACTGCTTAATTTTACTGTAGTATAATTATGTTTGAATAATAAATCGTTGAGAGCCAAAGCTGAGGAGTACGACACGTCCTTGACACTGAAATTACAGTATTGCACCGCAATAATAAATTGTCTGGAATAATCCATACTTTCAATACGATGTTCGCGAAGGGTCAAAGACAGGGGTGCCTGTTTAAAGAAGGAAATACAATATAATTAGAAATATATTGTCACGAATGACTTCTTATTTGCACACTTAAAATTGAATACTCGCTTTTACATATTTTATTCAGTCAAAAGCTTACAAAATTTACTTAATCTTAATCTACCCCTATACACTGCCTTATATACCCTAGTGCAGGCATGTTTAACATAATTTTGTGTATTTTCGTAACCATAGCGGGCCAAAAGAAAAATAAAGTGACACATTCTAATATGGTGCATTTATTTAAAAAAGCCTCGTTATTTCACTTATAATATTTAGGTTAACACTTAAAATCTATTTAATGAGATGTCTGACATTTTTTCTGTTTGCACAGTTTATTTATGTTAGCTGGTATTTTAGAAGTGGCTATGCGCAAAATACCTGTAAGATGGCTGTCTAAAAAAGATTATCTCGTTTTTGATTTGTTATACATATTTCAGCTGCTCGCAAATATATGTACTACCAAATAAAGAAATGTTCTGAAGAGCTAATTTAGTAAGGTTTGGGTATTGGTTGGGTGTAATATACTTTTTGTAAAATCGTTGGGCCCGGAAGTATTTTTGAATTTTGGATGAAAGTTGTAACTCGCGGGCAGGATAAAGGGCCTATGCGGGCCGGGTGGTGGAGAGGCCTGCCATAGAGCATGTAAAGATCAATTTCTAAAAACATCAAGAGACATACAAACACATCGAAAGGTCTAGAATTGAAGAAGACTGACGGCTATCTGGCACCTAGTCTTTTTTTTTATAACGAAGCATCCGCGCAGGCAGAAGCCTAAATGCCGGAACACCGCGGCTGCTATGATGATCCCAAGGAAATTTTATTAATACGATTTTTGAACTGCCTAAGGTTAATAGAACTGGGAAAAGCTTCCTCTTGTAGATTGTTCCACAATCTCGACACCCTCGGGACAAAGGAGCGGTCGTATCGGCCGGTTCTGGATGTACGAAGTTTGACACGGTTAGGATGGGACGCCAAAGTTAGGCGGGTCTGTCTGGCAGGCACATCGCGCGGCGGCATCATGGAAGAGAGCTCTGAGGAGCAAAGCCCGTTGGTGTAACGGTAGAAAAGAGCCAGATCGCCGACAGCCCGCCGGTGCGAAAGAGTCCCGAGACTGTCTGTTAGAGAAGAGTCATCGATCAGTCGGACCGCCCTCCTCTGGACAGCATCGAGCATGGATAATGTAGTCGGGGCGGCAGCACCTCAAGCAATACTCGAGGCTAGGCCTTATCTGGGCCTTGTATAGAGTGAGAAGGTCATGCGGAGAAAAGTACTTCTTAGCCCTAAACAAATAGCCTAGCCTTTTTCCAGCAGCTGCAGCTATTGACGAGCTGTGTTCGTGCCAGATCAGGTCCTCGGTGATCTGGACTCCGACCAGCCGAAATGAATGGCTCTTTGGCAGAACTCAATCATCCATCTAAACCGGGTGAGCGCAGGGACGCTTTTTGTTCGTCAAAGTACAGTACTGCGTTTTGGAAGCAATGAACAGTACAAGATTGTTGCGTCCCCAAGCAGTGATAGCCTCCAGGTCTCTTGTCAGAGAGAAAGTCATCGCTAGTCTTCTTTTTTCCAACTCAACGGCAGAGATCGGCTTGTCACTCTGAATTCCTGCATGTAGAGTGCTGTCCTCAGTGACGCTGTGGATTGGGTTGATCGTGCAGGAAAGGAGGTCGTTGATATGTAAGAGAAACAGTGTCGGAGACCAAGACCGATCCCTGGGAAACACCCGCCTTGACGTTGTGGGATGAAGAGGAGAACCCGTCAATTACGATGGATATCTTGCGGCCAGAGATAAAGTCAGCCACCCATCTGCAAAGCTTTTCTGGGAGGCCATAGGTTGGAAGTTTGCTTAAGAGGGCAGCGTGCCACAGCTGATCGAACGCTTTCGTGATGTCAAGAGCAACGACATCAGCCTCACCATAAGACTGGATGAGTTTACTCCACAATTGAGTGACGTAAGCTAGGAGGTCCCCTGTGGATCGTTGGTGGAAACCATACTGCCTGTCGCTAAACAAGCCGTGACGTTCGAGGTAGTCCAGAAGCTCGCGATTTATGCACCTCTCCATCACCTTACTTAAAACAGAAAGCAGAGCTATAGTCCTGTAGTTGTAAGGGTCGGTCTTAGATCCCTTTTTTGGGATGGGCTGGACATGAGCAAATTTCCAGTTTTCTGGGAAGGTGCCGGATTCATAAGATATCTGGAAGAGACGCGAAAGAACTGGAGCAAGCTCCGGTGCACATATTCTTCAGTACAATGGCAGAAATCAAGTCCGGACCAGAAGCTTTGTTGATGTCAAAGCGAAGCCATAAAATGTCCTTCCGGTCTGATTCCAAAGAAACATATCTGGAGCAGGAAAGACTGCTGCGGACAAAAGCCACAACTCCCCCGTTCTTTCTCAGATTGGAGTGCACCTCGTAGTTTGGGAAGTTAAGATGGTTAATCGGTGCAGACTCTGAGATTTTTGTCTCCGCCAAGAAAATCACGGCGGGACGATTGGATTGCAGGTAGTGATGAACAGCATCAATGTTGCTGTTGATCCCGCAAATTTTATCTTCGATGTTGTTCCCTCGAGCCCACCCTCCACCCGGACATTCCGAGAGTAGAGTGAGTTTACGTCCGGAGTTCTTAGTGCTCGAGGGATCCATCATCATTAATTTCTTTGTTTTGGAGGATAACCGACTGCATAGCTTAGGTATGGAAACATTTATAAGACACCCTGGGAAAAGCTAGCGGGTGGTACTGCCTCGGTCGACTGGTCCTTGTCTACCACCTTCTTTTTACGTGTTAGTGATGTTAAATAGACCTAAAGTGGCCCGTTGGCGGACTTGTTCCGCCACCCGGCAATCGGTACTGAGGGATTCCTTAACGCGGACAATCACTTGAACGGAACTAAGTTGTATACTGGATACAACAACTTCCGGAACAAGCATTTGCCACGGCCCCACTCAGTAGGGACAGTAATCCGAGTATGCATTACGGTAGAATGGCAGCTGATTATATAGTAATATTTCAAAATTCCCCATATCGGCGAAAGACGCATAATTCTGACAGATCTGTCAATGCCAGGTAGGCAGAGCCATATTTTGTTTTGGTTTTTTGGACGCTACCGATTCATTTTTTACTTGCTAAGAGCTCTTTTATTTGCATAAGTTCATGTGTATACAAAAAACAAAACGCTAGAATCAAGTTTTACTAGATTTACACCCGATTCATTATTGCCAACATTGCAGGCTAACACAAAAAGTCACTTGCTCATCAGCTGTTCACCTCAGTACATTTATCTATACTATATCTTCAATAATATGATCTTTTCTAGAATGTTTGAAAGCACTGTTAACCAACTTATACGTTTAAGATGTTTAGTAGGATTTGAAATTTAAGGGACATGTATAATTAAAGCTAGCTTTGACTGTGAGTGGTATCCTTTTTTTATTTTATTTTTTATTATGTGAGTGATATGAAAGAAAGTATAGGAAGACTTACTTCGATCATAGTTAGTGATAGTGTCAATGCCCTTAGCATTTTGAGGTCATATTTTAGGTCATCGACAAACTACTTTTGTTACCCTTAGTCTTCTTGGAACATTTATTGATGCATGGTTGCCAAGCCTTCGGAAGCTCGGATATTTCATACACCCTGTAAATATAGGCAAATTCGACGAAGCCTATAACCTTCCTCGGGTATGAATTAGTAAAAAAAACATTTTTACGTTTCTTCGTATCTTGGTTCAGACGTGATGCTGACAGACTGGACCAACGACGATCAAAAAACATAGACCTTTCTATTTACTATAAAACTAATTGAAAGGATAAATATTATATAATAAATGTGTGCCCACATAGACGTTTATAAGTACAGTCAAGTGTGGTAGTACACAATTTTTGTGAATTTTTTTTCTTGTGCTCTGTGGCTTATATATATACCTCCCTTTTCAGATTGTGAATGGAAGAACAGGTCTTACCAGGTCCCTCTCATATTGCGTAAGTATTCCATTGATTTAAATTTTCTTCGCTTACTTATATGGGAAAATTTCTATAGTTCAGGTTATATTCCCTTGGCTGATGAATTGACTGAGACACAACAACCCTTAGGAAATCTGCAGTCATTCACATCCTCTAGTACTGCAAGCTTCTGAATTGGAATATCAGACAACAAAATTTGCATTTGGAGGAAGTTTCAACAAATAAAAAAGTGGGAACACAGTGCAAGAGAAGGTGAGTGATTTGAGAACTTGATTTTCTGCTAGGTATCTATTTGGTATCAAGATAAAATCATTTGTATTATTCAATATATCAACTATTTGAAATATTGATCCTTTCCAGGCCAAAACGGTATGTCGGGGATTTATCAAGTGATGACTTTTCCACTCCAAGAAAAGCAAAAGCAAATTATCACTAGTCTCATTGAGGAAAAAAGTAAAAGCCTCCAGACTAGTGTTGGAGCTTTGAGAAGACGAATAGAAACTCTGAGTGGCTTGCTAAAACTTTTGAAACAGAAGATGAACTTGACAGATTCAGCTGAAACTGCATTAAGGGTAAGCAAAAACATAATTATGAAAGCTGTAAATTCAAGATATCCATATTAATGTGTGAAAGAAAATCCATT